TTAGAATTCTTCGTCCATAGAATTTAGTGCTCATTTTCCTTGGACCTTCCATTTAAAACCAGAGAGTATGCTCTGGAGGGAAACTACTCGCCCGAAGATCCAAGGCCCTTGAATGGGTATGTCCCAAAAAGGGGCACGTACCCCTTTTATACCCGCAATATAATAGAATCCCTTTAAAGGGACCCCCCCAAAAGGGTACGCACACAAGTTACCCCGAACAAAGTGCGGGAAAAAGTAGGATTCCCTTAGAGAAGAAGGACCCCAATAAGCCCCAAATCTCGGAAACCCCCAAATACAGTAAACTCCAGAAAGTTGGAAAGTGGCTTAAGGATGATTGGAGCTGGGATTCCATTTAGTATACCTTTTGGTGAATGGAGATAAGGATGTTCCAACTTTCTGTAGGTGCTGTAGATCTCCGCAGGTCTGTGAGGAAGATTTCGTCGAGATGCGGTCACGCATGTCTTTCGGCTGCATAGCGGAGAGCAGAGACAGCATGTCGGGTTCCCAAACCCGAAACCCTAAACCCTAGACCCTAACCCCTAAACCCTAAATTCTAAGCCCTAAACCCTAAGCCCCAAACCCGAAACCCTAAACCCTAAACCCTAAACCCTAAACAGAATAAGGAGACCCTAGACGCAAGATTAGACTTCGACCTCGTCGCTCCAATTCCAAAAACCCCTGCAAGCTGCACAAACGAGCCCTTCCTTACCCTGTTTAGGGTTTAGGGTTTAGGGTTTAGGGTGTACTTGGAGGTCCATGGTTACCTATAGCCGTGAACCTCCAAGGGTCCCAGCGCTGGGGGTATAAAGGGCCCTCAGAATCGGGGGATTCTGGAAAACCATGTTTGTGGAAGCCTTAAGAGTTAGAGTTTAGGGTTTAGGGTTTAGGGTTTAGGGTTTAGGGTTTAGGGTTTAGGGTTTAGGGTTTAGGGTCCCCTATACTTCAAGATTCATGGACTGTGGACACTCCAACCCCAAGGTACAAAGAACAACTGGCCGGAAGCGCCTTGAGCTTCTAAGTCCTGAACCACAATTAGGTCTACACCTCCCCAAACCGTGAAATCCATCAACCCTATGTTTGGGGGTGGTTTGGGGCTTCCTTGAAGGTTGACGGGTATATGAAGGTAAGGTTATATGATGATATCATTCGGGGGTACCAGTTATAGCTTTAAACCCTAAACACTTAGGGGTTTCGCGTCAAAGTTGAGGCCGAAGATCCCAACCATTTCAAGACTGAGGGTTTAAAGTCTAGCCTTGAGGGTTTAGGGTTTAGGGTTTAGGGTTTAGGGTTTAGAGTGTCGGCATCTGGAGAGGTTTGCTGGGGTTTGGGCCTCGAGGGCTTAGGATCTTGGAGTCCCACTTTTCCTGAAACCCCCAAACCTTAGAAACAAACCCTCAACGTTTTAGGGGCTTGGGATTTAGGGTTTAGGGTTTAGGGTTTAGGGTTTAGGGTTTAGGGTTTAGGGTTTAGGGTTTAGGGTTAGGTGGTACGAGGTTGCGAGTACGGCAGCTCTTGGCCGACGAGGACGTTGCTTCGAACGTGGGGCAGAGCGGGCTTATGGGCTTGGGGCCTATACGCCCCTTACTTGGAGGTTCATGGGTTCTCATAAGTACAATTTGGGATGTTCCCCCTTATACTAACAGTCCTTAATAGGGATTATAGCACCCCCCCCCCCCCACATTAAACTCCCTATTAAGGACTGCTAGTATAAGAGGGAGCATCCCAAACTATAAAGTTATATGTAGGGTAGCTGAAGTTCTAAGCCATTGTGGCCCCTTATATCCCACCCATGGAGCCTCCGCGTGCAACTTCTGTGGCTCTGATAAACCTGCAATAGTCCCTAGTGGCCCCCGCACCCTAAGCCCTACACCCTATGGTTTAGCCTAGTAGTAGAGTAGGTAACCTTTAACCTTTCTGGGGTAGTATAACAATCCCCTTACAATCCCAAAGGTTAACTTTTAATTCCCCCAACTAAGGTAGGGTTGAGTGTTTGCCCACCCTTACATGCCTCCTAGATACGGTCTCCTGATTATGCGAGCCCCGGCCTCCCCCCGAAAAGGGGACGTGGTGATCCTGATAGAGAGAAGCCCCCATGTCAGTGCAAAATCCTGCGCCCTAAGCCCTAAGCCCTAAACCCTAAACCCTAAACCCTAAACCCTAAACCCTAAACCCTAAACCCTAAACCCTAAACCCTAAATCCCTATCACTGGCCGCGAGGGTGGGACAGTGAAGGCTCAGATGTCCAGCCACATGGTTGGAACGTGCCGGACGGCATTCGGGATTGGGGGTCCCTAAACTCAAAACCCCAAAACCCGAAATCCCAAAGCCTATGAACCCCAAACTCTAAATCTTTATCCCTAAACCCTAAACCCCTAAACCCTAAACCCTAAACCCGAAACCCCAAACCTATGCATACACCCCCAAACTCTATCTCAGGTGCAAAGTCTAGGACCACTAGGACCACGAGGACCCAGAGTAGGCCCTTATTCGCTTGTTTAGGATTCAGGTTTCCAGCTACGCCCCTTCAAACCAAAGCGGGCACCTTTTTCCTGCCAGGTGACCCTTGGGTCCCTAAACCCGAAACCCTGAACCCTAATCCCTCAACCCTAAACCCTCAACCGAAAACCCTAAACCCTCTAAACCCTCTAAACCCTCTAAACCCTCTAAACCCTCTAAACCCTCTAGACCCTCTAAACCCTCTAAACCCCCTAAACCCTCTATATACCTCCTAACCCTAAACACCCAACCCCAAACGAAACTCCAAACCCTCGACCAAGCGCCCCCACTGCGTGCAAGGACGTGTCCTACGTCGGAGGCCATGGCTTCCCTGAAGCGCCTGAACTTTTTTGCCTTGTACGAGCCGTCTAGGGTTTAGGGTTTGGAGGGTTTAGAGGGTTTAGAGGGCTTAGTGGGTTTAGAGGGTTTAGAGGGTTTGGAGGGTTTGGAGGGTTTAGAGGGTTTGGAGGGTTTAGAGGGTTTTAGAGGGTTTAGAGGGTAGAGGGTTTAGGGTTTAGGGCTTGGGGTTTAGGACTTACGGGTGTTTGGAGACCTACGTTTCCTGGAAACCCTTGATTTTTTCAACAACACAAAATCAGTGGGTCGTTTGGAGCCCAGGTAGTGCAGGTTTAGCATTCCATCCCTGCTTGGAGGTTCGTGGCTACTAGCCCCAACTATCGCTGCACTTTGAAGCGCCCTAAGCCCCCTAAGTTAGGATATAAGTAGCCTTGAAATTGGGGCTATAATCCTCAAGCCTAAACCCTAAAGCCTATAAACCCTGAACCCTGGAGTTATAACCCTAAACCCTAAACCCTAAACCTAAACCCTAAACCCTAACCCTAAACCCGAAACCCTGAACCCTAAACCCTATAAATCCTAAACCCTGGAGTTAGAGCCCTAAACCCTAAACCCTAATTGATTGGGGTCGTATGTACCCACATCAACTTCCAAGTGGCTTCTGACCCTAAACCCTAAACCCTAAACCCTAAACCCTGAACCCTAAACCCTAAACCCTAAACCCTAAACCCTAACTGCGCAGGGCAGAGGGGCAGTGACAGCCCGCTGCGTCTCAGCACGGCCAAGCGACTGCAGGCGCGGTTTGGGGTTTGGGGTTTAGGGTTTAGGGTTTGGGGTTTGGGGTTTAGGGTTCAGGGTTTAGGGTTTAGGGTTTAGGGTGCCAGCCCTACAGGCCCTAATCTAAGGCCCGCAGTGGCACTATGGTGGGTTTTGTTGAGTGCGGTGTGATCACAGTCCTTCAAGAAGGAGTTCCCTTCTTGTTCCTTCGGTTACATGGGAATGAACCTCTGCGCACCCTCAACCCGAAGACCACAAACATGAAAGCCCTGAATCCACGCAAATCCCGAACCCTAACCCTAAGCCCTACGTCCGCACTAAATTTACGCAAGCTGAAAAGCCCTTAAAAGCCCTTAAAAGCCCTTAAAAGCCCTTCAAAAGCCCTTAAAAGCCCTTAAAACCCTAACCCCGAAGCCCCAAAAAAGCCCTAAGCTCCCAATCCTCACCCGAACCAAACTTGCTCTTTATCTCCTTTGCAGAGGAGAGGAACTTCCTTTGCACTGCAGAGGAAAAGCAAGGGTTCCTTTCACCCTTCATTGCCGAGCTTTCTGTTCTCAAGGCCTCTGCTCCCTTCCAGGAAGATTTCTGTGGGGCAGGCGCATGGGGGCTTAGGGTTTAGGCTTTAGGGTTTAGGTTTGAGGGTTTATGAGGGTAAATTATGGAATTTCGATCTTATCTGTTGCGGTCCCTGCACCCACTTAAACCACTTCGCCCCCGAACCCTGACCCCTGAGCCCCTAAACCCTAAACCTGAACCCGAGGAAGGCTTTCAACCAATTCTTGTTGTAAACGACAACCTTGAACCCTAGGCCCTAGACCGTAAATCCTAAATCCCAAACTTGGTCTTCTTCCCTATCTTGGGCACGGCCATGTTGATGGGCAAGTTTGCCCATGGAGTCCTTGGATCATCGAGACCTGGACCCACTAAGAACACTAAACGCACGGTCAATCTAAGGGTACTTTCATGGTCCCTTAATATGGTCCCCTACCTTCTTAAAAGGGCTTTGAAGTATGGGGCCCTTAGGGGTTTATAGGGTATGTAAGTGGCATAAATAGGGGATCCCCTGTTAAGGGCCCATACTAAGGGGCCATGTAACTACCCCTTAGAGTCAAGTAAGGCTCTATACAATCCCGTAGCGGTAGACTAGATGGTTTTCTCTTTGTCTGGGGAAGTCACGAGTCTCCCTAAACCCTAGACCTAAATCTCTAACCCCTTTTCACAAATATGGAGTTTTACGATAGTGGGGGTTCAAAGGGGTGCTCCCTATTTTGGGAAGCACCCATATTCCTCTGGGGACCTGAGCCCCGACTCCCCAAGACCTCTGCCAGCCTTGCAATGCGTGCTCTCGCTGGCATTCGGCTGCAGTGAGGGTTTCCAAGTTGGCACCGGAGTTTTCGCATCGTCAGTTCGGACGCGGACCAGTTGTAGCCATGGCACAACAGGCCGGGCTTAGGGTTTAGGGTTTAGGGCGGGGACCCCGCGATCAGGACATCATTTTGGGGTAGAGGCTTGTGAGCAATGTACTAGCCTAGCATCTTGCCAACGTAGAAATTCGAACTATTATGCTAGTACCAAAATACCCATTCTAAGGACCTTTCCTCCACAGCCTCCAAGCCAGCACGCAATAAGGGCCTAAGCTCTGAGCCCAGCATCCAAAACTCACAGAGTCACGACTGAACCCCAATACCCCTTTGGGGGGACACCAGGGTGATGATCAGAACTAGATCAGTGTTAGGGATCCTTTTTACTTTTTGGGTTATGGGCTTTCTTATATATGAACAAAAAGGATCCTTTTTTCTTCCTAGGGGAACAGGGATTAAGCAATAACCCTTTGGGGGGCACCAGGGTGAGGATCAGAATGGAGCATTGGTTTTCTGGGTTCATGTCTAGTCTCTTGTGTTTACAGTAAGCTTCACAAAGTTGGAACTGCCTTCTCCCCATACCCCGAAAGGTTTTTTCCAAAGGGAGCCCCCGCTCTAATTGTCCTTAAACCGTGTTCCAACTTTCTGAAGTGTACTGTAAGATTTCGGGTCCCTAAACCCTAAACCCTAAACCCTAAACCCTAAACCCTAAACCCTAAACCCTAAACCCTAAACCCTAAAAGGGCTTTTGGTGTCCAAAAGCCGCCCCGAGCTCGACGCCCTCCCCCCCCCCCCGCCTTCGCCGGTCCCTAAAGGTCTCGGCCGTCCCTGCAGTATTGATCCTCTAAACGGTGTAAGCCCTACATGCCCTGAAAACCCTATGAGCCGTAACAAAAGCCACAAAAACCCTCTAAACCCTGTGAACCCTATAAGCCCCTAAAGGCCTGCTTGGAGAAGGGGGTTGCGGAGGTTGATATTTCAGGCTTTTGGATTCAAAGGCGCTTCGCGGAAGGGGAGGGTTGAGAGGCTTCGATGGGTCCACGTGGGGAGTGCTTCAGCTTCAAACACTATGAAGCCCCAACCCTAAACCCGAATCCCTCACCCCTAAACCCTAAACCGTAAACCCTAAACCCGAAACCCGAAACCCGAAACCCGAAACCTAAACCAACCCCCCCCCATAAACCCTAGCCCCGAAGCCCAATCCCGACACCTCGGGTTTAGGGTTTAGGGTTTGCACCCCTGTGAGCTTTTGGGCAGGTTCAGATGAGCGATTTCGACATGCAGGGGTGCTCAGAGTCGCAGGTCTCTCTCTCTCTCTCTCTCTCTCTCTCTTTCAGCGTTTTTAAGGTTTAGGGTTTAGGTTTAGGTTTTAGGGTCCTCTCCCGAAGTTTCGCTCAGGGTCGAGAGGAGGGGCATGGTTTAGATTTGTGGCTGAGGGTTTCGGATGTTATGTGAAGGCTCGATGGGTAGTTCTAAGTAAACCTTATAGCCTCAAGCCCTGCAGCTGCCTTGAGGTTGCGAGTGTGCTGTGCTTTGGGGCGAAGCTTCAGAGTTCGAATTCAGGGTTGAGATGCTTCTAGGTTCAGAGTTCAGGGTGCGGCGGTCAGAAGGCCCGTTTTGCCCAGACCCTAAACCCTAGACCCTACACCCTAAACCCTAGACCCTAGACCCTAGACCCTAGCCCTAGACCCTAAACCCTAAACCCTAAACCCTAAACCTCCCGCAATCCGATTCAGGCAGCGCACCTTGGGGTGCGGGTCCTTTGGCCGCGTCAAGTTCGCAAAGTACAAGCCGGCCGCTGGCCGAAATTCCTATTAGGGTTTAGGGTTTAGGGTTTAGGGTTTAGGTTTAGGGTTTAGGGTTTCGGGTTTCGGGTTTAGGGTTTAGGGTTTAGGCTTTAATACAGGGGTCGGAAAAATGACTACGTACTAGTATTCCCTTCTGGCCCCCTTCTGTAATTATACTATAATAAGTCTCAGAAACCCTACTCTAATTATGAATGCCCCGATATTAAATTCCCATTCGGGTTGAGGGCATTAGGGCTGTCAGGGGTTTTCAGGCTTAGGAAAGTTTAGGGTTTTTGCGGCCTTTTGAGGTTTTTTTCGGGTCTAAGGCTTTAGGGCTTGTAGGGTTTTAGGGTTGTTCAGATCTTTTAGGGCTTTTAGGGTTTAGGGGCTACACTTTTTTTTGTAGCAAAGTGGTACCCCATTGCCCGAATTGGGTCAAGGCTCCCCTATCTTTAAACGTAACCCTAAAACAATTACCCTTGTGATATGACTACTGGGCTGCCAAGCCCTATAGGCTTAAGTAGAGTTCGGGGGATTTAGGGATTGGTTAAGGGTTCCGAACCCTGAGCCCTAAACCCTGAACCCTAAACCCTAAACCCGAAACCCGAAACCCTACCCCCTAAACCCTGAACCCTGAACCCTGAACCCTGGACCCTGAACCCGACTCCCCCCCTCCAAAGGCTGATGCATTGGGGCTTGAGGGCTTTAAGGCTTGGGGAGCTGTAGGGTTTGGGGTTTAGCGGTGAATGTGGGGCTTGGGGCCTCTTTAAGAACTTGCAGGATCGCCTTAACATGGGGTTTGCCTTAAAACAGTGAAACCTGAACCCTTTCTTCAGTTAGGACCTCTTGATTGACTTTTTTGAACACAATGTTGGACCCTAAACCCTAAACCCTAAACCCTAAACCCTAAACCCTAAACCCTAAACCCTGAACCCTGAACCCTGAACCCTCAAATTCTCAACCCTGCAACCACCTAAGGATGGGAAGTTCTATGCTGTGAAGTTCATGAAGAAGCATGAGATCATCAAGCTCAAGCAGGTCAACACCTCGGCTTCAGAGAGAAGGCTTACTTAAAGCTTCATGGGTGTAGGTAGGGAATAGGGCTCAGGGTCAGGGTTTAGGGTTTGGGGTTTCGGGTTTAGGGTTAGGGTTCGGGGTTTAGGGCTTGGGCTCACAAGCAGGGCAGCCGTAGTAACCCCAAACCCCAAGCCCTAAACCCTTACCCTAAACCCTATTCCAGGGGCTTGGACAGAAGGGTTTATGGCTTTAGGCCTAGGGACCTACGACCTGAGGCCCTAAACTCGATTCGCTCTGTTGTTTTACCCTGAACCCTGAACCCTAAACCCTAAACCCTAAACCCTACACCCTAAACTGCAGGCTGAAGGGTGCCCCGAAACAAGCACAACTCGACTCGACTCCTCTGCAAAACCCTCAGACCTAAAGCCCGAAACAGGGTTTAGGGTTTAGGGTTTAGGGTTTAGGGTTTAGGGTTGAGGGTTATCTTCCTCAGTAGCTGTGTGAGTACACTTTACCCTTTTTGGGATACGATAATCCCCTATAGAACTGAACGTGTCCCCACTTTTTGGGGGCTTCTGAACCCAGCAACTAAGTTTCGGCCCTTGGGAGATGTTAGACCTTCAGGGCTTGGGGCTTTCTGGACAGAAACTTTAGGGTTTAGGGTTTAGGGTTTAGGGTTTAGGGTTTAGGGTTTAGGGTTTAGGGTTTAGGTGACCTGAAGCCCCGCTTGGGATCCTCTTGCAGAGGGTAATGCAGACCACACAGTCAACCTGACCCCAGAGCAATACGCTGGAGTGTACGGCTTTCGGGTTTTAAGCCTCTGTTTCCGACTCTTGAGTTCTAAGGCTTTGTAAGGTTTAGGGTCACCGGAAAAGAGAGCTGCTGACTCCATCCTTGCCACTCAGCTAGTCCAGGTGGATCACATCAACAACGAGAAGCGCCTGATGGCCCAGATTGCGCACCCCTTCATCGTCAACATGATGGGCTACACCAAGGCCTCCAACTCCAAAACCCCCTAAAGCCCCCAAACCCTGGGAAGTGTTTAGGGTTTAGGGTTTAGGGTTTAGGGTTTAGGGTTTAGGGTTTAGGGTTTAGGGTTTAGGGTTTAGGGTTTAGGGTTTAGGGAAACCCTAAACCCTAAACAACCCTAAACAACCCTAAACAACCCTAAGCCCCAAAAGCCCTAAACTCTAAAATCCCTCAAGCCTTTAGTCCCACGCCTCGGCCAACATTCTGCGTTGAGCGGCTCAAGACTTGCTGGGAGAGCACCCAAAAAACCCCAAACACTAAACACAAGTATGTTTTAGGGTTTAGGGTTTAGGGTTTAGGGTTTAGGGTTTAGGGTTTAGGGTTTGGGGTTTAGAAGCCCTACGCCCTAAACCGCCTAGACCCTCAACCCCGCACTCTGCAAACGCGAGCAAGGGTCTTTAAGATGCGAAGTGTCCCTTCACTCAAGGGCTGAAAGACAACAGTGCCAACATCAAGAACCTGCAGTTTAGGCTTTAGGGTTTCTGAGGAGAAGCCGGCCTTGTCGCAGTCTTCATTTGTTGCACACTTATCTTTTCTTCGTACTTATATGTGCATTAATTTACATTCATGTATGCCTGTTTATGTGTATTCTGGATGAAGGATAGCCTCTCGATGTAGCCCCAAAAGGTTGACCTTAGGAGGTTCCCCTTAAAGCCCTTGTTCCACAACCGTATACACCCTAAACCCTGTACCCTAGACCCAAAAACCCAAAACCCTAAACCCCAAACCCTAAACAACTGGCAGGATGAGCACTTTGTTTACATCGCCGGGGGCCCCTATGAGACACCCCCCTCTTTCCGGGGTTGTTTTGGAGTTTTGTGCAGCCCACAGCAATGTTTCAATCTCCAGAGGGCCGCCAAGTCCCAGACCCTAAGCCGTGAATCCTGAACCCGAAGCCCCAAACCCTAAACCCATCCCCTCTCTGAGCTGAAGGATTTGCAGGTGCGTTGCCCTACCTTCCGAACCCCAGGACCTATTCTCTTGTAAGTTACCGAAGAATCCTATACAGGCTTTGGGTTTTGGGATTATGTTTAGGGCTTTTCAACCCTCAACCCTAAACACTGGAAACCCCGAACCCAACGCCGAACCTTCTCTTGAAAAACCCCTGCACTGAGTTCGAGGGCATTGGGGCGCATGAGGGATTCTAGGGTTTAGGGTTTGGGGTTTAGGGTTTAGGGTTTTTGGGCCTCCCTAAGGCCTAGACCCTAGACCCTCGACCCGAAACCCTAAACCCTGAGTTCGAGAGCTCGTGGCTATACGACCCTCTTTGACGGGAAAACTTTTCCAAGCTTGAACTTCTCTCAGTGTTGCGGGGGGGGGGGGGGGGGGCGGTTTGGGGTATAATTTGGGTTTTAGAGTTCAGGTTCTGTTCCTCCTCCAGGGTTGAGGGTTTAGGGTTTAGGGCTTAGGGTGGACATGGGTCCACGGGTCGAGCAAGTAGGCCTTTATGAACTTGCTGACGGGGTTGGGGTTTGTGGTTTTTGGGGAAAATTAGGGATTTGGGGTGTTTGGGTTTTTTGGGGGGATTAGGGATTTGGGGCCTGAGGCTCTCTCCGAAATTAGGGACATGGCTAAGCAGCGTGCGCTGGTCCTGGAGGAGCTGGTCGAGAACAACTTCATCCAGCTGACCCCGCCAGCATCAACCTGGATAGCCTGGCAACACTTGCCCTGGAAAGGTGAGGAAAGCTCAACGTCAGGACTCAGCTTGTGGCCACTCCAGTATTGGAAGCGGAGGCTCTGGGGGTTTAGGGTACAGGCTGCCCATATCAACCCTAAACCCCCTAAACCCTAAACCCTGAACCCTAAACACCGAACTTGGGGCAAGTAGGTGACCCTTTCGTCCTGCCATAAACCTTAAGAGTTTTTTCTACGCTTCGGGTGCAGGGTGGCAGATCTCGCCCCCCCGAGGGGCTTTGGGGCTTGAGGTTTGCAGGACTAGGGTTCAGGGTTGAGGCTTAGGGTTGAGATAAGTCGGGCCACAGCTTCGAGAGAAGAGCCATGAAGGTCAAAACCCCCCCCAAAGCCCATAAGCCCCAAACTCTCAATGTCTTGGGTGTGCCTTGCGGTGGACAGCATGCTCTAGCCCTAAACCCTAAACCCTAAACCCTCAACTGTGAAAGGCCCTTAGAGTTTCTATCCGCGAACTTCAGAGTCGTCACCCCCCTCCCACCCCACCCCCAAATTAACCCTACACCTCCCCCAACCCAACCAACCCTCCAATTTTGAAAGAAAGGATCAGCCTAAACCCTAAACCCTAAACCCTAAACCCTAAACCCTAAACCCTAAACCCTAAACCCTAAACCCGAAACCCCAGCACCCTAAAACCACCCGAAGCCCCAAACCCTTCGTAACTCTTCCACCCCCCGCGACTGGCAAGGTCATGGAGTGCATCAGCGGCGGAGAGCTCTTCACTCACCTGCGACGGGCGCGCCCGGGGGAAGGGGTTTGGGGTTTGGGGTTTAGGGTTTAGGGTTTAGGGTTTAGGGTTTCGGGTTTAGGGTTTAGGGTTCAGGGCTTAGGGGGATGACTGAGGCGGTGGGAGGGGACTAGAGCTTGGGAGTACCCTAGGAACACCGAACCTGCGTTTTTAAAAGGTTGACATAAGAGTCGTCTCTACTTATTATTTGTGCTTTGATTTCATCTTTAGGGTTTGGGTGTGGAGGGGTTGTTGGTCTTTATGATCATGGGTAATAAGGTTTAGGGTCCAGGTTGTCGAGATGTGTTGAGTGGGCCCAGCTGATTATAAGTTGAGTTTTTGCGTGCCCGTATGACGGTTACAAGTGCCATGACGTAGGTTGTACTTTTTTACTTTTCTTTTCATTTCTGGTATACCAAACCCCTCAACCCTAAACAATACAAGGTATTCAGCGTTTAGGCTTATCTTCTTGCAAGGACTTGTGGACATATCGGGTTGAGGGTTTAGGGTTCTTGTCTTTGGCTTGTTGTTGGAGGTTTCGCGTGCGGCGGGCAGTTGTGCTGGAGGGCTTCTAAGCCCTTAAGGCTTCTGCAGATTTTGGGGCCAAAGCACTATGAACCCAAACGCTAAACCCTTCACCCCGAAACCTTCACCCCTAAATCCGAAACCCTGAGCCTTGAGACGGACACCCTCCCAAGGGCTTGCCGTGTTGGGCTCATAGGTTTAGGGTTGGGTTTGAGGCGTAACCCTTCCAGAATCGGACCCTACGAAAAGTCTTACGGGCTCAATGTCCTTGTAACGCCAGGGTTCGGTATACACAGAGGCCCACGGTGTCGAGAGAAGTTGTAGCCGGTAGACTCCTACCCAGTAGACGTCCCCCTGAACCCTGAACCTAAACCCTCTAACCCCTAAGGGTCGTGGGTTCATGCATAGATCAGAGCAGACTCACATCAACTCAGCCCTCAGCCCTTCGGCCTTGCGGAAAAGGCGCGCAAGTTCACGGATGAGCAAAGCAAGTTCTATGGCCTGCAGGCGGGCCCTGCAAAAGCCCAAACTCGAAGCCCAAACTCGAAGCCCGTAGCCCTAAACCCTAAACCCTAAACCTTACACCCTATTAGGGCTTATTTCTGACCCGTGAAACCCTAATCCCTATAAGCCTTAACGTCTTTCCCGCCTGAAACTCCGAACCCCCAGCAACACATTGTTTTGGATTAAGCTGGAAGCTTCGGGCTTGTGCTTTAGTCTTGTCTTCCAGACATAATCCCACTTATTCCAAGATAATCAGTCATAATTAGTGGCAAGGCATTTCCCCCCCCCCCACTCAATTCGCGACCCCTTTAGGTTTTTAGCTGGAATGCAGGAGCCTATCTATAAGTAGCAAAGTTAGGTCCTCATAGCCCCTATGTAGTTGCAACGTAAAGTACCGAAATACCCATTCTGTTCAAATTGCTCCTGGCCCTCATTGTACCTAAACCCTAAACCCTAAACCCTAAACCCTAAACCCTAAACCCGAAACCCGAAACCCGAAACCCGAAACCCGACCCTAAACCCTAAACCCTAAACCCTAAACCCTAAACCCTAAACCCCTGAACTGGGGACCTTAGGTCTCTCCCCTAGAGTCAAGGTGAGCGCCCACTTGTAGGCTGCTGGGTGAGGGGCTGCTGTTAAAATTCCGGCTAAACCCTAAACCCCTAAACCCCTAAACCCTAAACCCTCAACCTTAAACCCTAAACCCTAAACCCTAGGCACTTAAAGGTGCTGAATGTCCATCCTGGGACTTGCAGTTCATACGCAGCTGGGTAGTTCTCTACATGAAAGGGTCCTTTTGATCTCTTTGATTTCCTAAGAATCTGGTGAGCCCGGGGGCATCCACCAATGGAAAGATGCTGTTCACCTCGGGGGACGTCCACTAATGGTAAAACGCTCTTAGCTGTCTGCCGGCTGGTTCTTCGGACTTTAACCTTTTGGGTGTTTGGTAGAAACTACAAAAAGGAGCCTGCAAGGTAAACTTTTGGGAGGGGTTCAGAAGTCAGCCAAGTGCTGTGAAATCTTGTGACGCCCTCAGAAGTAGGAGTTGGTGCCATGAGGCCATTTGGACCTGATATAGCTTTGGGGAAGCTTTGAACAACACAATACCAAGAGGGTCCATTTGTATTACTATTATGGAATTAGATACCCCAAAATCATACTAAATAGGGTTTTGGGGTACCCAATTCCATAATAGTCCTACAAGGGGACCCTCTGGGATAGGTTGAATGATGATCGGCTCCACTACTCCTTTTCATCGATGCGTAGACCCAACTGACAAATCGTATTCGTGCAGGTTGTAAACAAAAACGAAGACGATGATGCCATGGTATAGTTCTCCCAGAGTAAGGTTCACCGTTGTAGCGTCTAGACTCCTAACTAACCCTCAACACAAACCCTAAACCCCTCAACCCTCCAGCTCTAAAACCTCAACCCTCAACCCTGAACCCTCAAACCCTAGACCCTTAACCCTAAACCCTAAACCCTAAACCCTAAACCCTAAACCCTCAAACCCTAAACCCTAAACCCTAAACCCTAAACCCAGCGCCCAACCCTCAGCGCAGGTGGCGGCTGCCTTTGCCCACATCCACAGCTCGGGCCCCACCTTTAGGGTTTAGGGTTTAGGGTTTAGGGTTTAGGGTTTAGCTCGAGTGGTAGCCTCATGGTACCCTTTTTTCCCGTTGTTTTGGTTCAGGGGTTCCCTTGATAAAGTAACCAGCCCGTCCAAAAGGGTCCTCTTATCATATTCAAAAAGGTGAAGAATTCCCCACAAAAACCTGCCCCTTCGTGGCTATAGAACCTACAATTCCCTGCTCCCCCATTTCCATTTGACAACTGGGACGTAAACAGCAGGCCCCTTTCAAGTCAAAGAAACTATAGTACTTATAATGCAATATAGGGCCCTTATACACATAGCAAAGGAGTTCCCCGTCTTGATGTTTCAGGGTGGTTGTCTCTTGAGCCCTCAATCCCCTCCCCCTAATCACCTGCAAAGGCACTAAAACCAGTCTCAACAGAGACGGCTTAGGGTTCATGACAACCCAAAACCCTGAACCCCCTAAACCCTGAACCCTTTTATTGAGTCTTTTGCTGAGCAGCACCCCGGCAAACCTGTACAGTCACCGAGGGTGCCCCGAACCCTGGCGGGATCCTCCGACAACCAAAGTTCATTGGATCTCACCGAAACCCTTGTGTTTTGCGCAAGCAGAACCCGCGCCCTAAACCCTAAGCCCTAAACAGCCGGAAGCCCACCTCTTCAAGCTGTCTCCCCACGATGTTGCGTCGTGTTCTAGCGTCTGAGCGCGAGCCCATCCTTACCTCAACTCCTAAGCACGAAGAGACCTTAAAAGCTGTAATGCCCCAAAGCCCTAGCCCTAAACCCTAAACCCTAAACCCTAAACCCCAAACACTAAACCCTAAACCCTAAACAAACCGAGGCAAGAACATCATCCACCGCGACCTGAAGCCGGAGAATATCCTCCTCTGCCGGGGGCTTTCCTGTCGTCCCGGTTCGGAAAGAGGGTTAGGGTTTAGGGTGGGGTCTAGGGTCTAGGGTTGGGTTCAGGGGGATTAAGGCTCAAAGGTTTAGTGCTAGTGCTTGTGGGGGGTTGGGGGAGGAGGCGGCGGGGCGGGGGGGGGGGGGGGGGGGCAGGTTGTAGTTGGTGCAAGTTTAAGGCAATCATGGGGAATGAGATGAAAGACTTGTGGATATGGCCGCAGAGACCGAGGGGTCTACGGGGGTTGTACTTGGAGGTTCATGGGTGCTTCTAGCCCCCATTGGAAGTCTACGTATAACCCACTTAGGGGATTTAGGGATAGCCCCAAGTGTAAGTGTGAACCTCCAAGTAGGGTTTGGAGGGGGCTACAGTACCAGAGTTTCGCATTGGCTCGGCCCCCGGTTTGCAGCTACACCAGGGAGGCCGGGGGTTTGGGTGATGTGGTGTTCTACGCCCGAGACTATTAAGTTCCAAGCCCGAAAACTTACTTCGCCAACTTGTGACTTTTTGGTTTCCCTGACCAGTAGGCAGAATTAAGTTGAACCTTTGTTTTCTCTCTCTTGGCGGTTGAAGAAGTAAGGAAACGCCTAACCCTGGGTTTTTGCTGCTGCTAGGCCGACTCTTGAGCTCTAATGGCACTGAGTCTCCTGAACTTGTTTAGGGTTTAGGGTTCGGGGTTTAGGGTTTAGGGTTTCGGGTTTAGGGTTTAGGGTTTAGGGTTTAGGGTTTAGGGTTTAGGGTTTGCACCGATGAGCCTCAGACCGGAAGTCCTCAGCCCTGCGCCCTGTACCCTAAACCTACAAACCCTAACCCCTTAAACCCATAACCTCTAAACCAACAACCTAAAAACCCTAAACCCCAAACCCCCTCAAGCACTAGTGTTACACTGCTGAAGCCCTAAAATACCCTAAACCCTAGACGGGTTTGATAAAGCCTATAAACCCAAAAACCCCAAAACCTAGAAGCCCTTAATCCCAAACCCCTAAAGCCCTAAAACCCTTAAGCCCTCAATCCTAAACCCCTAAACGCTCTAAAGTTCTAAAACCCCAAAGCCTCTGAACCCTAAGCTCTAACACGCTAAACCCTAAGACCATAAACCCTAAAACGCATAAACCCAAAAACCCCTAAATGGTTGGGCTGAAATTCTGAAAGGCCCGAATGGGTACTCCAAGCTGACGGATTTCGGCTTTGCGAAGATTGTGGAGCCAGGTCGGCGGACCCGATCTGCGACTGTTCGGAACTTTCGGGTTTAGGGTTTAGGGTTTCGAGGGTTTAGAGCGTTTAGAGGGTTTAGAGCTTAGGGTTTAGGGTTTGGGGTTAGGGCTTGCGGTTTAGGGTTTAGAGTTTCTTGGGTGTAGGAGTCGAGAAACGAGTGCCAACATGACTTCTTTGCAATCCCCATACACCCCCTAAGTGTGCAAACTGCCTCAAGTACTAGGACCCAGAGTAGGCCCTTAGTTTTAGGGTTTAGGGCTTAGGGTTTCGGGTTTAGGGTTTCGGGCTAGGGCCCGGAGTAGGCCCTTCTTCCCTTTTTCTAGGGTTTAGGTTCCCTTAGAAGCCCCTTTAAGACCAAAAAAAGGCCACCCTTCTTGTTCCTTGGCTGCTCTTGG